GGCGGTCACGGCCACAACTCCGCGAAACACCGTGCCGCCAACAATTAGGCGAGTCCTAAGCGAGTGACGTCATTCAGCTCGAGCAAGCGAACGCAAGCGAACGAGACCAAACACAGTGCTGCACGTGGAGTGTCTGCCGCCAGCGAACTTCGAACAGGAGAGCGAGCGTACGCTTGGCCGCCACCACGAACAGCGCCGAGCTGCTTTGGAGCTAGCGCCGAAGAAATCGACGGTAATGCTGCTCTTTTCCACAAACTCGAGCGAGTGCAGCGTGCAAACGCGAGTCCGCCGCCGCGGCCAAAGGACGGCGCCAAGCTGCTTGCAACCGACTGACGGGAAAGCCAACTGTAATGGCGACCAATTTGCGCTGAGTTCCGACGCTAGCGAAAGCCCCGCCAGCCCATGCTGGTGCGCTTACAGCACGCGACATACTATAACCAAGCTCGTTACGAGAACTCGCAACGTGTTTTCGACGACTCACAACACAGCGATGAGGTCTCAGCCCAATATCGTCAGCCCGGAGCTCATCGCGGCGGCGAAGACAGGCGAGCACTCGATGAGCGAGCGTACGGGAGGCCGACGGTAATGGCGGCCAATTTCCAGGCGGTCGCACAGCACAGGCGAACTGCAGACGCCTAGGCTGACCTTCGCGGTGCATTTCGTGCGTGCGATATACAACACGACAGAGCCCGTTGCCGGCAAGCGTGATACGTAACGCACACGCGAGAAGTAGAGTAGAATAAAGAATGATACCCTACTTGCGAAAGAATCAAGCGCTGATTTCTGCCTTGAGTCGGACTGAAGTATATGTCCGATAGGCCTGCTGTCTTCTCGGCTGTCATGTTGGCCTTCCCAAGTGTTGCTGTCGTGTGTTGATCGTGGCTGAAGCCAGAGATACAGAGCGCGGCGTGGTGACGTGTTGAGGCTTGCTCAAGACTTCATGGGTGCAGCAAAACGTGCAAGCAGCAGTCCAGGCTCATCCAAGCGTACACTTAAGCAGGACGTCGTAGTTCCTAGATCGTCGAATCCAGGCAGCCGTGGTTGAGCACTCCGAGCGCGACGCAACGCGAACCGTCGCCAGCAAAATCAATCAATCAATCAATCAATCAATCAACTTTTATTTCTCATAGAGAAATATGGGGGTGACGGAAAAAAAGCCGCAGTACTGCGGCTTGACAAATACGGGGAAAGACTGAGCCAGGAGAGGAGGAGGACGGATAGTGACGTCGGCAACGCTTTGCACACTGCCTGCATTCCCCGGGTGGTTCATCCCTTTGGAGCACGTTTGGAGACTAAGTGGTTTGCACGCGGCACGCTTCCCTCTGTGGTTGCTCCTCGACGGTCTACCCGTTCATCACGCGCGCCTATTGGGCTCCGTTACTCCTTTTTTCGGGTAATGTTTCCTTAGAGTGAAGAACCGAATCCCGTGTGGGTTCAACGGGAATTCTTTCTTAAGAGCCCTTTGCAGTACATTCCAAAAATAAACCCCTTCCCAGCAATGTAAAAACATATGGTCTATGGTTTCTGGGATCTTACAAATTAGGCAATTTGTGCCCCAAGGAATATAGCATCCTTTTCCCCCAAAAAATGTTTTTCACAGGCAATGTACCAGAATGCACCTTAAAGAAAAAAAGTTTTTTCCGGGCTGCACATACATTTTATTCACTCTTTTCAAAGCGTTTGTGCCTGGGCCTTTGCTGTACAATGACCTGTACAACGGCACAAGAAAGACAATGTCGCATAAAGCGATATACAGTTCTTTTCGTTTAACAATTCTCTTCAAAAACTCTTGAAAGGTATTCTCTTAAAAACCGTACACCTAAAAATCTCCTACTATACACGATTTCTTTGTAATAGCCCCCTATTCCTCTTTCAGACTTTTCGGTGGACACAACATATTTCGGCAGATGTCTGCCTAGTCACAATCGACGGAGGTTGCGCAGGAAGGGATCGGTGACGTATCGAAAAAAACAAAACCGATTAACTAGCTGCCGTATAAATAGGTGACCTAACCTAAGCACTCCGTCTTTTACTCTTCGGAACAAGTTAGTACGGCTGCGGCGTTCCCATTCTGAGGCCCACAAAAAGACGGCACATATTTTGGGGAACTTTTGCACATTCTTCCTTGAAAAATGTAGTACCCGCATGACGTACCAGAGCTTGCTTAGAAAAAAAAAAAGGTTGCAGACAATGGCTCTGGCAAAAATCGACAACGCGCCTCCTTTCCACTTCTCTTTTTCCTGTGTGTCCTTAATTTGGCCTTTCCAAAACTGGTCGCTGTCGCGATATGCGTCAAGCGGGACACCTAAGTACTTGCCCGGTATCACTGCCCAGGGCACGTTAGCGAAGTGGTCTGGCTTCGTTGGCCACGATCCATGCCAGAGCCCCAAACACTTTGACCAGTTAACACCGCTCCCAGTAGCTTAACTGAAAGCACGCACAGTACCAACAGCCCGTTTAATACTGTCTCGATCCCTTGAAAAAATAGCCACATCATCTGCATAAGACAGCAGCTTAGCTTCGGCTGCCTGCAACTCAAAACCGTGAATTATTTTCTCACTGATTATTTTTAAGCACAGCGTTTCTATATATATACAAAATAACAAAGGGATGAGAGGCAACCCTGACGAACCGAATGCTGCACGTTAATGGGGGACCCCAGATTCTTATTTACAATCAACCTCGTCGTGCAGTCCCGGTACGGCAGGGCCGCTCCCTCGCAAATAACAGAACCGACGTTAACATGATTTAACACAGAAAACAAAATTTGGTGGTCAGTACAATCAAATACATTTTCTAGATTAATCTATAACATGGCAACTTTTTTATCAAAATAATCACAGAAATATAGAACGCTGAGTGCTTTATGAATGTTTAAGGTGACGGTGCGCCCTTTGCTGCCGCACGTTTGGTGAGGCCCCACGATGTCCTTTATCACTGCCTGTAATCACTGCCTTCATGTAGATTCTATAGTCTACGTTTGTTAGGGCTATAGGACGATACGCTGAGACAGATTTCAGTTTACGTGAATCCTTTGTTTTCGGTGTGAGAACCGTATGGGACGTCCCGTGAGATGGCGGCAAAGTATTTAATTTATAGGCTTCAATAAATATTCCTGTCAAAATAGGGCTAATTTCGGGCTTAAACTCTTTATAAAAGGCGGCCGTGAAACCATCCGGACTGGGCGACTTACCTGGGTTTAACTTGTCCATGGTGTCCTCTACTTCGGTCACAGTTATTACACGCTCCAAGCTCTCTTTTCTTTCGTCATCCAGACGGGGTAACAACGGCAGAAATTCATTCTGGAAGCTCACTGAATTTGCGTCGTGCAATGTGAACAACTCGCGATAATGGTCCGTGAAAGCTCTTGTGATGCCTTCAGTATCAATTAATACGGTGCCGCCCCGCTCTATCTCGCGTACGCAGTTTCTTTCCGCGCGGGCTTTTTTCAAGCCTAGAGCGCGTTTCGACGGCACTTTACCTGCTGCAGTGTCCTCAGCCTTTGCCCTCACCAGCGGGCCTCGATAACGCTCTGCATCCAGCTGCTCTAACTTTTGTTTTACTTTTCTAATATCTTCCCTGCACTTTCCTGGAGCTCGGCATTCCTGCATGAGTAACTTGTCGAGTAACACCCTCAACTCAGTATCCTTTCTTTTTAACATCGTACCGAATGCTCGTGGCCCTGTTTATTGCTTTAAGTTTTAGCTTTTTTTTGCAAAGTTCTCACTGTTGTCAAAGGTGAACCTTTTCGCTGGGGCTTATTTTGCAAATTTCTTCTTTCACTTCCGGATTATAAATATCGTCATGCAGAAGGTTATTATTGAATTTCCACAGTTCCCATGAGAATGACTTATTTCGCTTCGAAATTACGATAGAGTGGAGGACTAGGAAGTGATCGGAAAAAGACACAGGGGTGACATCATAACTAGTGTATTCGGGTAGGATGCCGCCGTAAACGTAAATGCGGTCAAAGCTTGCGTGGATAGGGCCTTTAAAACGCGTGTACTTGACCGCACTTGTGCCTGTAATACAATACGATACATCCTCGACGTCCCATTTTGCGACAATACTAGCCAAGAGGTCGGTACTCTTATCTCTGTAACCCCGAGTGTTTGTTTTGTCGTGTGCGCTCAGGACGCAACTAAAGTCGCCCAGCATTGCTAATTTCTTTCCCACACAGAGACGTTGCTCAAGGCCGAGAAAAACTGTGCCCTTTCTTCAACCCTGTTCGGCGCGTACACGCATACGACAGGTCACTCGGTGTTATTCAGAGCGAAGTCAAGAACAGCACATCGACCCGCGTCACACAAAAATTGGGCGTTCACTTTCAGCCCAGGCAACTTTTTAACAAAAAGTACGCAGCCAGTCAATGTGCCCGACGCGTGGTTAGCTACAACAAAAAACTTTGACGCAAAGCGTTGCACCACGCTGCCGGTCTCTGCATCGCCATCGACTTTCGTTTCCTGTATCGCTAACACGTCAACGTCGCGCTCCGTTATGAGGCGGTAAAGCTGGCTTTGTTTTCGTTTCTTGCCAGTCCTCTGACAATAAGAGTGTCGACGTTCAACGGAAAAGCTTTTCGTGAACCATATAAGTAATCTCTTACATGATTGCGGGAATTATTTGGTTTATTGGGTGAAGTTGTATCCATCAGAATGAAAAATCGAGGCACAAGAAATCAACACTTGTATGTAAAATTACCGAGACGAGCATGGTCGACGACAATATCATCGTCGCTGGGACACGTCGGCGTGGTCGAAATATGCCAGCGTAATCACTGCGTGGCACTCTCGTTATACTTCCAGGATAAAAATAAATACTATCGTCGTGCTCGTAATCTTATCACGAGAATCGCGAATGCTTCCGTAGACACTCTCGTGGCCTGCCCTAAGTGACAGAGCTTGTGTGGCTAATGACACGCGGCCACGATGAGGAATAAAGCAAGTAAGCGTAACAATATATGTCGACATGATAATGTACGCCCTATCTGGGAATGTCGGCTAAATGTAGGGAAGACAGACTTCCCTCACCGATCCCATCAGGAGTATCGCTTCAGGATCTCTGCTAAGGACGACGAACATGAAGGGGTGATCAACAGTGAACGTGATGCTAGCCTCCTTATCCTCCCATGGGCCAACCTTGTGGCCTTTCTCTTTGGTCTGTAATGAGACGCACTGCACGGCAATCGACAGGTGGGGACCTCCTTCGGAGAAACTAGAAGGGTCGACTTCGTCTGACGCCAAACTCGACATGTCGGCGATGCCCGACACAAACACGTCCAAGACTCCCAATCCGGGCAGCACGTCCTTGAGGTCGAACGTCTGCTTGACGGCGAACTTGGGCAGCCTGACGTCCACGCTACCTCGGTCTTGGAGGCGGTCAAGGCAGCTCTGCAGCCTGGGCCCCGTCAGCGCTGTCTCCAGGGTGCTTAGTCCGTTGCGTTTGTGTGGCAGTAGGAGCACCATGGACTTCTTGTAGCGCCGGTATCGGAGCTCTAGGACCGTGGCATCCAGTTCGTCATCGCAGTCGGCCGTAGGAAAGCGACCCCGTTGGTACATCATACTGACTGGGTCGGAAGGGGAGATAAAGGAAGTTGTGAGGCATGCAATAAAAGATCACTGGCATCAAATTTACCTGCACCACTATTTTCGAATTCTCTAGTAATTATCGAACCCGTGGTAGCAACTCACGACTGACTAGGAATACAACCAAGGAACTAATAACTATATTTTATATTCATTGATATGAGCAGTATAGAGCAAGATTCTTAGCGAGTGGAAAGCCTGCCAATTTGTAGCGTTGGCAGCGCTGCCTTGCGACCACCACTTGACTATGTACTCTCACACTGAACAGCGAAAAGTGAGGACAGGCTCAGCTGACATTTTGTCTGGTAGTTGTCTCCATTGAGCACGACCATCTTCGCCGTCAACAGCACTGAGAAGCGATGAAGGCAACATTCTGCATTTGGGACTAATCGGATACGCCATCTCGCGATTCATTTCAGCTTCGACTTCTTGTAAAGTGCGTGTCAAGGATGGAGGTCGTTCTGAACAGCGACGAGGAGGCGCCTGAGGATGCATGATTGGGTCATGTTTAGCTCTGTATGTTGCTCCGGATAAATTTAGCCTGAACGGTAATAAGGCATACGCACAGGTGTTTACGAAATAGTGGGGAGGGGGATGTATACTGATATCGACATTTTTTGCCTCTTTGGACAACTACAGTTATCGACACGTGTCTCCCAATTTCTGCCCAATGTGCATGATTGAAAAAAAATTTATAAAAGGTATAAAAATGCAACTCATTCGGAATTAGGCCACTGCCACAAATGTACATCAGCACAGAACTAGCACAGGCCTACACCATGTTTGTATGAAAAGTCTGAACATGATGGGCTCATTGGCTCACCAGGTAGCTCTACTCATACAGTCTCTCGCTTTGACAGCTTCGGACACATTAAAGCTCGCTACTAATGTTGTCGGCGTGTTCTTGTTGCCGATGACATCAACTTGATATATTGTGGCCGTGCTGTAGCGCGTACCATAGGTGTAACAAAACGATGCACTGCTTCTGAATTTACCGCGTTTAAAGGAGCAGTACCTAAGTGGCCAACGGATCTCAGACATGCTGAGTGAAGGGCATCTGCGTTGTAAACCATTCAAATAGGTGCGGCGAAGATCAGACAGGAGGAGTGGGGCGAGCCACGGGAACTGAGAGCGCTTCCAGCAGTTGGCGCAAGTCAGCGCAACAATAAAAAGAATGAGATCGTCGACGTCATCGCTTCTGACGTACCGTCCCTCAGGAGGCGTGGTACGTGTGCACATCGGGCACGTTACCGTAATGTCGATGTCACAGGGTGCTGAACACCTCGTTGAGCTTTCGTACACGGTTTACACTGTTTTCCGTCGAAATAAAACAACTCCGTTTAAATGCACCGTATCGCATTACAAGAAAGTGACATAAGTACACACTTTGTCAAGTCCCGGTCATATTGCTCAATATAGCCAGGAAACCAGACATTTTTCATCTGGTGTCCTGGATATAGCCGCAAGGTAACCACGGCAGGATTAATGGCGTAGCGAACATCACGGCATCATCGAAAACTACACCGACAAGAAGTTGCCCAGCTTCTCCGCGACTGGGCTCTTCCTCACTGCAATAAAAAGATTTCTGATGAGGTCAGATACAAACCCTCTTTCTGGACTCCGGAAGACTCGTAGAAAATTCCAGAAGTGGTGTCCCTTAGATGGAACTTCCATTTCCAGTCGGCCGTTCGCAGTGACGTCACGCTCACCACCAGGAGGGACGTGGTCTCGTCGAGAGTTCCCTGGGGGATGGCGTTCTCGCACTCGAAGGCCGACATCACGTGCAGCCACTCGTTGACGCTTTCCCTCACGCTCTCACCATCTGCGAGCGACACGTGGGAGTCACAAATCGATAGTCTTGTGCGTGATTTGTCAATCTCTGTGATTTTAAAGAGAGGCCAAGTAGGAGAACGATTTCTCTCGTATTTTAGTAAATTACTCTTTCATAATACCAAAAGCACCGTTCTTGCTGCAGGAAGACGCTTACGAAACAAGAAAAGGTAGAACAAAGATATTAAAGTGGGGATGGAACTAGGCGGTTCAGCAACAATCATCGAGACGTCATAAGTTTCGGTGACGTATGTGGTAGGGCTTGGACAGTTCATAATAGGTATATAGTAAGCACAATGCGCCCTGAGAGAGTTATGGTTCCTAACATGCCGAATTATAAAAAGCTTTTTTCATCAAGATACAAAACATAAACAAACAAAAAAGAACACTGAGATATATCACGTCACGCAAGAAGATTTTTGCGAAAAACGGAGGACTGAAAATTTCACCCTGAATTTTCCCTTCTGTTAAATGTACCTTCAACAACTTCAGAGTAGTGGACATTTCAAAGTATAATTTATACTTCTAAGCTTGTCCATTACTTCACTTTAATATTCCTTTCAGAAATCTGTGAGCGCTCCCTCCGAAAGCAAGACGAAAAACATCACGCTACGATGGACCTCAGGCCCCAATGAAAAACCGAGCCACGTCGCAGGTCTCTTCCTAGAGGAGGCATCGACCAATGAACAACAACGCCCCGCTACCCTGCGAGTGCCAACGGAGGCCACCTTCTTTGCAAGGGCGTCCTGTCACCGCCATAGAAACCCGTTTTGGGCTCGCGCGGCAACTGCCGCTCCGCTCTTGGAGCAAAATCGCTCACATGTGAAACAGGCTTTCCACCTCTTCCTCCAAGTTCGCACTCACGAGTGCTACTGTACGGCGGAATTCATAGCACGCGCACCTTGTACACATAGCCGCTGTGGCACGCACTATCCAAAGTTTGCTGATAAGAGCATGGTCTAATGAACAACAACAACAACAACAACAACAACAACAACAACAACAACAACAACAACAACAACAACAACAACAACAACAACAACAACAACAACACAACAACAACAACAACAACAACAACAACAACAACAACAACAACAACAACAACAACAACAACAATAATAATAATAATAATAATACAATAATATTAATTATTATTATAACACCAGGGGCTGAACGTGAGATAACCTTGACATGATTATCAAGAACGCTGTAGCGAAGGGCTCTGTAAACTTCGACAATCTGGTGTTATTCAACGCGCATTGACCTCGAACAGTACACGCGCCTCTAACGTTTCGACTCAATCTAAATGCGACCGTCGTGGCTGGGATGACGCAAGCCCTCAACCTTCAGGTCCAACCGTAGCCAACATTACCAAGTGTACGCGAGTGCTCTTACGTGTCCGTGGGCGTGTACACAAAGTTTTTTATGACTTCTCAGTAGAGCTTCCATTGAAAATCAAGTAATCTCGCGCTGTGTAGTTTCACTCGCTTGTAGTTTCAAAGGTTGTTGTCACCTTGTGCGAAATCAACGTGCCGGTGCTCCACGAGCAGGGAGTCGGTGACCGTGCGTAGAGGGTCGCCCGGAGCGGTACGAGGGACCACGTGACGGCCCGTTATGAGCTGCGTCTTGTTGTTGAAGCAGAAGTAGCTGAAGCCTCCCGCCAGGCAGGTGAGCTTGCACGCGCGACGCTGCATGTACAGCTGCGCATGAAGAAGCAAACAAGGTGTTTGACGAGGCCGTGACGATCCCCTTTAGACGAGACAGGCAAAGTTGTGGGGCAGTGTTGTGTGAGACGAGAGAAATGTACTGTCCATAGCATAACCTGCTACATTCTTCGTTTCCGATTGGATAAAATCGGTTAAGAGGTAACAATTATCGTTCTTTCTAACATGCTGCATCAAAGAAGAGAAATGGCAATAGGCATAGTTGGCACTCTTGGTACTGCCTCGTGGCTAACACAGAGGAAACTGATAGCAATATGCGGAATTATATAAGCGCAAACGGCGACATGGTGAGACACGCCGGATTGGATTGGATAAGCTTTTATTGGGTCCTCAAAAACACAGATCACTGTGTTGCGGGCCACTCCCACGTGGGTACTGAGATGCCGAACTCCTCAGCAAGAGGCACCCGGGAGAGTCGGGAAATTTTAACCATACGGCGTTCTTTAGAGAGACACAAAAGGCAAATAGCAATTTAGGTGAGAATTAAAGAGCGATTTGCGGGAATGTCTGAAACGTCCACGTTATCAACAGCAGTTTGCTACTGCAGTTTACTAGTACTATAGTGTGCTACTGGAGTCGGCGGCCGCACCGTAAAGGCGGGCAACGTTCGGCACGGCAACAGTGACGCCAAAAGGCCACTTTCCCTTCAAAAATACGGGTGTTTTGAAGTGCTCAAACGCGATGCGGACCATTCAAGAATGGTTTTATTTCGATACAGGCGTTTATTTGGCACAAAGGAAGCACTAAAAGGTTTCTGGAGCGCTATTAAAACAATACACGTCCACTTAATATTCGCCTTCTGTGTCTCTCTAAAATGTTTGCAAATGGTTACGTAGAAGTTTGAACGCGCCTATGGTTTGCTGTTTTGCTGGTTCCACAATGTCGTGAATGTTGCGAATTGGGTGCAGCCCAGGCGTCAGGACCAAATCCAAGCCGTCCAATGCGTCCGCAACACGGCCGCAAGGCTAGACCTGCCGGTCCCCACGTGGGGGTAGCCGGGTGGTGCGGGGCAACTTCAGCGCCTGCACTGGACCATAATAAAAATCTCACTCCCTCTCGCTTACTCTGTCACGTGGCCATAAAGAAGAATAATATAAAAAGCTAAGCTCAGTTGTCAAGACGCTCGCCTTCGGAGAGTGAGGGACCATAGGTTCGAATGGCAGTGTTGCAATTAAAGTTGTAAACTTTTTGCATCGCAAATACGATACATTCATATGGGCCAAATTCATTCCGGCCAGGGAACTCTTCAGTAATACGGAAATGCGCTGTTGCCGAAAAGCAGTAAAAAAAGTTGAGGCTATTATCGCCCTTGATAAGGCTCAATTTCTTCGACTGCTTTTAAGCAATTGGTGTGGCGAAGCCAACCTTTCAGGCAACATTCAATTTAAAAAATACGCATACTAGGTGCATCGTTGCGAAGTGAGACCTCAGACGAAAGTGGAGCCTTATCATTAGTGATAAGGTCCTAAACTTTTTCGAGTGCTTTTAGGCAATCAGTGTGGTGAAGCCGACCTATCAGGCAACCTTTAGCTCGAAAAATACGCATACTAGGCGCATCGTTGCAAAGTGTGATGTCAGACGAAAACTTGAGCCTTACCAAGAGTGATAAGCGCCTCAACTTTTTGAACTGGTTTTAGGAAATAGGTGTAGGTAATCCAACCTATCAGGCAATCTTTAACTCGGAAAACACGTATATTAGGCGCGTCATGGTGAAGTATGACGTCAGACGAAAGTTGAGCCTTATCGTGGGTGATAAGGACATCAACTTTTTTTACTGCTTTTAGGCGTGTATTGTAGTGAAGGGGTGCCTTTTAGATCGGGTACGCTGATAAGTCTGACGTCTAAAGGCTCACTTTCAGGCGGGTGATTCAAAGTGCAAAAAGTCACTGCGGACTAATAATACGTCACACTAAAAATAACGTGTTCTCGGCACGTAAATAACACTACTACGCTTCTGATCCACTATTACAGCAATCTACGTTAGCTTAAAATTTGCTTTTAGTGCCCCTTTAACATGCACTTACATCACACAATATACGCGGGCACGTAGCAATTCGCGTTCATCAATATGTGACCTCCAAGGCCGAGATCTGTAGCGTCGGATAACTTGGCTTCTCACCGTGCACACCACGGCTTAGAAACAAAACGACAAGGTACGCTAACCTGCGCCATCGTATGTTGCCCCCCCCCCCCCCCCCTCCCTTTAATGCCAATGAATGCAGGGCAGGTGAAGGTCGTCATTCGGAAACAATATGAGCCTCAGTAGGTGCAAACGTTAACGAAATTTCTGCGCGCCGCTGCGTTCAACGACTGTCACCTTGAAATCTTCGTCCTGTATGTTCTGCAGGTGCAGGGCTTCAGCCAGTTGCTCGGCAGTGGTCCCGCCCGACAGAGCCATCATCATGGCCATCACTGTCTGCACGGCGAAAGGAGAGAAGATCACGTTGCACGGGTCTCCAGTGGCGGCCCCAGTGGCTGCTCTCAGCTCCATGTACACATCCACGGCAAACTGGAGCATGGCGTCGTTGATGTCGTTTTCGTTTTGCAATAACCTAGGCGCAGCAATAGGAAAGTGCACAGCATGAACAATGCTTACTTTTACGCTGGTACAAAGATAGATAAGCATGAGCTCGTTGTGAAATGACGTCAACTTGAGTGTTTTAGCATGGCTCCATCATAGGAAACAGCACGGGCCCCGCCACGGTGGTCTAGTGGCTAAGGTGCTCGGCTGCTGACCCGCAGGTCGCGGGATCGAATCCCGCCCGCGGCGGCTGCATTTCCGATGGAGGCGGAAATGTTGTAGGCCCATGTACTCAGATTTGGGTGCACGCTAAAGAACCCCAGGTGGTCGAAATTTCCAGAGCCCTCTACTACGGCGTCTCTCATTATCATATGGTGGTTTTGGGACGTTAAACCCCATAAATCAATCAGGAAACAGCACGGGAAAACGGGAGAAGAAAAGTACGCGGCTGAGCACTAGCTCACAACATGAAGCTTGTATGTCGCGTGAACTAAATGTAGGTAACTTCTTGAAAAAAAAAACAATCGAAAAGACCGAAAAAAAAGAAGCAAGGGTGAACGCGTGCGTCTCGTCTCGTCTACGCACGCGTCTCGTATCGTACATGAAAATGCAAATTTCAGTAACTGAGATAACTCATATCAATGTCGGTTAGTATCATAGTGGTTAGTAAGAAAGAGAAAATAGACAATCACCTGTTCGTGGCTCGAAGCCATAAGGATATCCGTACGGGTTTCCTTGTGGCTTCGAGCCACAAATGGGTAGTTGTCTATTTTGCCTTTCTCAGCCCTTCCACCACCTCTGCAGAACTCATTTACATTACGGTGGTTAGTATAATGGACAATGCACTTACAGGGGCCAATGTAATGTATTGTGATTTGTGAATGCTTCGCAAACTTCCCTGGAACGACAATTACGATTTCTGCGCAGGATACGCTTCTGTTCGTAACTCGTAGTGCATGCAGCCACACTCGGCACAGTGAACTGCCGGATTGCTTTCAGTTTTTGCCTTCTCATTGTTCTTGTGCACTCACAGTCGGTAATTGTGATAAACAAATTCGTGTGCTTTCGTTGTGCTGTCACACCTGGTCCTCCAACACTGCGACCACCGCAAGACGTTGCTATGTCATAGAAAATTTCTGTCATGCAGGGCGCAAGCCGCATCGCATGTTGCTTCCTGCAAGCGGAATGATTAGGGCGAGGGTAGTTCATTTTCTTGCATGGTGATTCGCAGCTTGACTGGCACCGCGAACACCTACCTCATGCTGCCATGTGCAGCAGTATTTTTGTCTTGTTCGAAACACCATGCAGATTGAGTATGATCGCCATTCTTGTCATGTAATCTACAGCATGAGGTTTCGCTGTCTTTCAGGATGGCTTCGGCTGATCCTGTAAATAACTGGTCAAAGAAGCTAGACTTCTTCAGTATGCAAATTTGGTTTGTGGAACTAGAAACGATTCGATGCAAACATTATCTAACAAAAGGGTTTTTCATAGCGCACAGCGTGATAGCCAGTTTACGATGACGTGATAAAAATGGAAGCAATCATCCCTTTGAACAATGTCAATATACTGCCAACAGGTGTGCTTTGCACTGAACTTCGTCTTGAGGTTTAGGAAGCGCAGTTGACCATCCTGAACAGATCCCTCGGAAATAAAAGTTAAAAAAAATTGGCACAAAATCACTAAAAACGGTGCTGACCCTGTTGCAGCTCTGCACAGAGTTCTCACGATAAAGAGTTTAGAAGGTTGTTGACATACCAAAAAGTTTTTCGGCAATTAGTCGAGCTGACTGGATTTAGCAGCTGGCCTATAGCGGGTCTGAAACAGGTCGCTTAGAATCAGTTCGATGCAGACGCCTTCTTTATGCACATACAAGCACATGACGATGGTCGAGCATAGGTACAGCGAAAGCAAGTTCAGAAACCTGGAAAGGCTTATGCCAACACAATTTTGGAAGCGTGCTGGTACGTACGTTTCCATATCGTCTCACACGAACACTGAAAAGGCGGCTTGGGGCAGAAGGTTATAGAGACCCGTAATCTCGAGTGACATGCACGCTCGCAAGACCAGAAACTTTCAGAACCTCAATATTTCCAAACGGCTTGCAGATCAGGGAGGGGTCATCAATGTCGAGTAGCGTGAGGTCCTTCTGCAAGCAGCTGCGCAAGAATGGGTGCCAGCTGACGACTTTCGGCAGAATCCCCCGGAAGGGGCAACATTCTTTATGCACTTTCACGGCGAAGAACGCTGGGAGGCCAAGTTCTCTAAATTGAAAAGGAAATGTTCAGCAGGTCCTGGCATTTGGTAGGGCTAGATTTCTCACTTTGGCTGGTTAGAGGTTCTTTCCCTGCCCAAATTTGCGCCGTAGGGCTGTGTCGACATTCGTGTGATACTTTTGGGAAGACATGACGACAAAGCAGCCATCGTTATCAGCTTTCAAATGCTTTAGATTGTTCCAGGAGCACTCGACTACACTCGTAAGATGCGGACGCCGGATGCCTGTCGGCCGATCTTAGAGAACTGGCACGCATTCACAAACAGGATTGTTCTCCACAGGGACAGCTTGGCTACTGGGGAGTGGGCAGGATTTTGTCCCTGTGGGAGGGAGGGCACCTGCGACAAGCGAGTTCGTGCAGGGGGGGCAGGAATGCGTTACCCATGCGTTACCTTTCAACTATGTTTGACCTTGGGGAGGGGGGCGGCACAGAGAGGCGAGAATTACAAGGTGGCGCCAGCCTCGCCCCCATACCCTGTGCTAGTGCCGCCCCTGCCCGGCTCTCTGATGAGGGCGAATGGTCTAGTCTAGTCTAGCTCCATTGCAACCGAAATATTCGATCCCATTACCAGTACATTTAAACTATCGACCGCTGCAGCCGAGATTCGATTCATGACCTTTGGGTCAGCCGCCGAGCCTCGCACCTACATACTAGAATTCGGTCTCTGCATACTAGACACCTAGAATTCACCGTTCTCAAACCACGTAGTGAAGGCCAATTTCGCACTGTAATTTTCTATATTAATTTATTGACAAGGCTTCAACGTTATCGCTGAGTGCTCCCTGCTAGATATGACCCTTACTTTCTTTTTTCAATAGTGAGCGTGTATTTCACTACTGTATCAAGTAAAAATTTAATTATATTAGCTTAGATCTCACTTCTAAATAAAAAACACGATATGATGATGAAAAGCGGCGCAGTGTAAAGCTCCGGTAGTTGTGACCATCTGGTGTTCTTTAAGCTACACTGCACTGTACACGGGCCTTTACCAACTCGCCTCCAGAAGAAATGCAAGTGCCGCAATTGGAATCGAACCCACAACCTTCGCAGCAAAAGCTTAACCCCTTTTCTAGACATAGGCCGAAGCTATTTTACAGACGCATGGCACGCACTCACTTAGCATTGCGGCGTGCGGCACGACGATTGCGGCAACCCAGCGTCTCGATCTCCCACGAAGAGGTGGGAACGGTGGACTCTGCGGCGTCTGGATTGGTCTTGTAAGCCACCGAAGGCGTTTCCACTCGCATCTTACGAGAGGAAGGTGACGACAGCTTCTTGCCCCTGTTGGTTTTATTCATGGCTACGTAGATCTTGTTCGCCTTCTACTGTGGCTCGCACCCACGGTGGGGAATTGGCCGAGAATGGCATGGTTTCATACCATGTTGTAGAACTTTATTATAAGAGATGTTATATAATAAATTTACAAATCTTCATAAAACTTTGGTGGTAGAGCAAATAGATAAAACAGAAAGGACTGCTTTTTTATGTGTTACAGACAACAAAATAAATCAAAACGGCTTTTAAAGAATGAAGTATACATGCGTCGACGCAAAAGGATAATAATAATAATTAGCTACTTAACCGATTGGTTACATTAGGATAAATGTACACAGCCACGCAAACCTTCACATTGGAGAACCCCTAAATAGAGCATCTAAAAGACGAAAGTGTCCCCACTGCTGGCTGAGTGCTTTTTTGCGACTTGATTGAGGTGTACCCACTACGGTAGTCAGCCATTAAAATTGGTGCTCTGGCGGACTGCGTTCTAGAACAGAATCCCGAACCTAGCCTCCTACTTGCACAAATTCCCACTTGCACTCGTTGACTGAAAGTCGGTTTTGGATCCAAGATATTACAAAATTACGTATCAATAATTTTATTATATTGTATGAAAACATAGGAATAAATGATTTTAAAAGGCGCTTCCCCAGGCGCAAAATCCTTGGAACTAGGTCAATGGAGATAGGGTTACAGTAAACTATCCATGGTGTCACTCGTGATCGCTGTCACAGTGCTAACCTGTGCACCTTCCGGTCCATGAGCGTTCTGTCATGGCATCAACCTGGTGGTCGTTTTATCGTGGTTTATGAACCCAGTGAATGCTCACTCACTCACCAAATCAATCAATCAATCAATCAATCAATCAATCAATCAATCACTCACTCACTCACTCACTCACTCACTCACTCACTGCAGCTGACCAGGGCCAAATCCTTTAATACATCGTGTTAGGCGCACGTATACAAGCAGTTAAGCTTGCGCTAACATAACAAAACTACCTTGAACTATGCTATGCCGTCTGAGGACGTGCTTGACGTGCGCACACATGTGATGTCCACGTGAGGTTAAACCTGAACTTACAGAACTGGTTCATGGTGGCGCCGTCTGGGTGTTGTCTTCGTGCCGCTGACGTTTCAGCAAGGGCAGCAGCTGCGAGACGCGGAAATGAATATGAGAGTGCAGATGTCGTGCAAGGCCCTATGCTACTCATCGCCCGCCTCACTGGTTGTGGAGGCTGTGATTCTTAAGAGACGGCGCCGCTTCCGTTGCTTGGCATGTGTCTACCGGAAAATGTTGACTTTCGTACTTGTTGGACGCCATTAAAACAGACACAAGTGCAATCGACTGTGTCGTCTGCTGCAGCTACAGCCATCTTGTGCGGCACGGTCTCTGCACTACCTCACAATTTTCCTGCGACACTATGCCGCAGGGAGTTTGTGAACTTGCCTTGCACGACAGCTGTGCTTTTTCGAAACGTATACTGCGGTGCCGCTGCCACCATGTAGAACTTGTGAAGCGATTGCCGAAGTGCAGCACCTCCATGAACCGGTTCACGAAGAAGTAGAAGAATGAGGAGGGGTTTAATTAAAAAAAGGAGGAGAGGTCAGCCTGGAAAGCGGGTTTCTAGCCTGCTACTCATCACGGGGGTAAGGGGAAAAGAGAAAGAAAAGGAGGGTATGATGAGGGGTGATTTTGGTATAGCACAATGAGTCACTGCACACACTGATGTGATCCACAAGTTTCACACTGATGTGATCACATCCACAATGTGATCCACAAGTTTTCGTGCAATATGCACAAAAACACAGCGGCTTTGCCGCATGCCTGTAACGCCAGCTAAAAAAGCGAGGACCTACTCGAAGCGCGGGAGGCCAATCTCGTCTCAGATGACCGAGACCAACGATGTCGCTTCGTCGCCAGGGCTGAGGAGGAATTAAAGGCCAGATGATTCCTGGAAAGGGGAGACCTCCCACTTAGGGTGGAAGTGAGACTAGCACTGCCATACCATTTTGAGAAATAATAAACGTTGAGACCTTCTCTTGAAGTGGGCAGCTTTATATTCGAAATTGAAATACATGAGAAAAGTTCTAGAAGGTCAACACACCGAGTGAGCTTCAGAGAAAAAATTCAAACAAATGGGTGGAAAAAGAGGTCGATGAAAGGAGTAACGAAACAGGACTAACTGACTGGGAGTCGTCCAGAGCTTCAACCTTGCATTTAGTTCAAGTACCCACATACTTAACGTTTTTAGATGCGCAGGATGAGACCCGTCGATACGATGACGAGATATAAAGAAATTGAACTACGCTTCGCGCAAGAAAGTAATGTTGAAACTAATGAAGGTTCTCGCTTAATGACTGCTAATAGCCAAGTGCAAAAACAAAAACTAACAGTTTTGTGTACGCATACAACCGATGAACGAAGCTCCTTAGAAATGGGACTACGCACGTTATTAAAGACGATAGTCTTTTCTGGGGACCTTCGACAAAAAAATTTTGGTTTGTCTGTCTGTACATTTGTCTGTTTGTCTGCCCTAACAATACCTCAAACGGCACCAAACGACCAACCCTATTCGCAGCGCCCAGCAATATTGCTCAAGGTTTAGCGTTTATAGTTGTGCGATTGTCAATTAAAACGCAATGATTGCGCATATCTGAGGCGCCACAACAACGCTTCGATGTCTTGTATGTCTGCTTTTATACTAGAAGAGGCACACACAAGTAACTCTAAGGAATGTAGCGTTTAATCGCGCTGCACTGACCGTGCAACGCGATGCTCAAAAAGATTGCCCGCAGCTTCCCTCGAGGGAACACTGAGGAGGATGCGGAGCATATAATTGGTTAACGGGGTGTTAAATTGCGACTTACTTGGGTCGATGGCTAAATTGGTTAACGTGGTTGTAGGAGGGGGTGTTAAATGAGTGAACACGTACGACACGTATGCGAAAGGGCGGCGCTGGTCGAAGGGACGTCGATCATTGTATTTGTGGATTCGTCAGCATTCATTTCACCGCGACCTCGGACGTCGACGCGCCGTACAAACCAACCGACAAGCGGCAACTGAGCAAGCGAGCGCCGACCTTGAGTATATATACAGCGCGACGGCGCATGCGCTGTCAGCTGTTGAATGTTCTCGAAGCGCGACGGCGCATGCGCACGTCAGCTGTCGAATGTTCGCGAAGCGCGACGGCGCATGCGCGTCCGCTGGAGAATCTGGAGAATTGTAGATTGTTCTCGAATGGGAGAAGCGCGCGCGGCACAGATAGTGGGCGACGGCGCGACGGCGCATTCGCGCGTCAGCTGTCGAATGTTCGAGAAGGGGGAGAAGTGCAACGGCGCATGCGCGCGCGTCAGCTGCCTATGTTCTCGAAGCGCGACAGCGCATGCGCGCGCGTAAGATGGAGAATGTACTCGAAGGTTATCGAAGGGGAGAAGCGCGACGGCGCATGCGCGCGCGTCAGCTGCCGATGTTCTCGAAGCGCGACGGCGCATGCGCGCATCATCATACAGCTGGCGAATGTTCGTGAAGAGGAGAAGCACACGTGGTGTGTAGAGGAGGAACTTAAGTAAAACTTCTTTTGGGCCTAGTTGGTTCATAGCCATAGAATATACTTTTACAGCGCAAACATAAAACGATCCACAAAGAAAGCGACGACACACACCAGCGCTGACTAACAACTGACTTTATTTCGGGATATGTCAATGCATAAATACCTCCTGGGCAACCTCACCGCACATGCGCCACACATCTCGACAGATAACAGACACTCAGAGGAACAATCAGAGTTGACAAAAGAAATGAAACCGTGTATTACATACGTGATGAAATGAACTGAAACTCAGATGGGAGCAGCGTCAGAGACGTGTCGCTTATACAAAGCTGAGCCCTTTTTCTGATATGATAGGCTTCCAAAGCCAGCAGCGCATGTTCATTGTTACTCCTGCCAAGGATCGACGTCCCTTCAAAACGTGGCTCACAATTGCAGCAAGAATTAATATGAGCCACAAGATGGGCTCCTTTATCTTCGTTCTTGTTAACTTTTTGAGCGTGTTCCCTGAGCCGCTCGTTGATACATCTTCCAGTTTTTCCGACGTAGAACTTGCCACACGAGAGCGGGATGGCATAAACCACGCCGACGGCACACGGGACATAAGTCACACCGTGTCGGATTTTGCAACCTCCTCTGTTCATACCGCAAGTGCGGGAGCACAGCTTGGAAAGCTTGTTCGGGGCAGACAGCGCCATAGCGACCCCATGTCTGCCTGCCACTTTCTTGAGCTGATGGGATATCCCATGCATATACGGGACCACCACAGGCCTCGCTTTGTCCTGTACGGCGTCCGCCCGCTTGGCAGTTTTCTTTTTCTGGAAGAGCGTTTCCGCCACTGCAATCAAAAGCGACCTTGGGAACCCCGCAGCCAAAAGTCGGCTGATCTGATTTGCGAAACTATCGTGCATCTTGTGAGTGCATGATTTTCTAAGCGCCGCTTCCATGGCCCCCATCGCAATACCTCTTTTCACAATTTTCGAATGCGCCGACTTAAAAGGTAACAAGTCCTTAGTTGCGCGTGGATGATAGGACCAACACACATGACGTTCACAAAACTCGAGCCTTAATTCTAAAAACTGTAAAACACCATTCTGTGGGAGCTCAAAAGTAAACACCAGACCTCGTCCTTCTCTGCTAAAATCACCTAAAATCTTAGTCACCGAGTCCTGGTAGGAGGAGTCTATAGATAATAAAACCAAAAAATCATCGACGTACCTAAAAACCTTTACAATCTTTCTCGCGCTAAAACCTATGCTTAAAGAGCAATCCACATTTGCTAAAAAAAATATCTACAAGCAGAGGCGCCAGACAGGAACCAATACATATGCCATTACGCTGCAAATATGGCTGGTCATTAAACACGATAAAAGTGACCTTAAGATAAAACTCTAAAAGGCTCAAGAAATTGCTCAAAGAAACACCGGCAAAATTCTGAAAAGGCACAGCCCCATAGGCCTCAATGCACGCTTGCACAGAAGACATAAGCTCATGCTGGGGTACAGAATAAAACAAATCTTCTATGTCAACTGAGAATCCATAACCCACATTGGTATTCCTACTCAAGAAGTGCACTACATCATCTGCATTTTTTGTACGAAAGGGATCATTGTACACCAGTGACTTCAATTTTTCCTGCAAAAACAGGCTGACATTGTGTTGCCAGCACCCCTTTTCACTGACGATGGTTCTAAAGGGTACCTCTGCCTTATGAGTCTTCGCCGTGAAAAACACAGTCAAAGAGTTCCCTCTGCTATTCTGGATGCTCTTCGCAAGCAATGTTAATTCCAGTTTCTTACAAAAATCCACGAATTTTGTTTTCACACGCACCTCCCGCTTCCCAACAGGAGCAAAGTTTTTTGACACAGCCTGCAGCGCTTTTTCGCTAAAAATGCCTTTTTCCACAACAACAAAACCACCCTCTTTATCCGCCTGCATGAGGCAAAGGTCGTTAGCCCTCAGAAAGGACACCGCGCGTCGGACACAACGATCTGAATGCCGGGGTGGGCCTTTTGGCACCGACTTTTCTAAACTTACTACGCCCTCAAGTAGGCATTGATCGCGGGAATCTTGCTTCGCTTTAGACGCGATGTTTCTATTCATTGCAATCAGATCATGCGCAGGAACATGCGAAGGTATACAGAATTTTGGGCCTTTCGCCAGCAATTGTTCTACGTCATCAGGCGTAGAACAATATACGGGTGGTGGTCCCGTATATGCATGGGATATCCCATCAGCTCAAGAAAGTGGCAGGCAGACATGGGGTCGCTATGGCGCTGTCTGCCCCGAACAAGCTTTCCAAGCTGTGCTCCCGCACTTGCGGTATGAACAGAGGAGGTTGCAAAATCCGACACGGTGTGACTTATGTCCCGTGTGCCGTCGGCGTGGTTTATGCCATCCCGCTCTCGTGTGGCAAGTTCTACGTCGGAAAAACTGGAAGATGTATCAACGAGCGGCTCAGGGAACACGCTCAAAAAGTTAACAAGAACGAAGATAAAGGAGCCCATCTTGTGGCTCATATTAATTCTTGCTGCAATTGTGAGCCACGTTTTGAAGGGACGTCGATCCTTGGCAGGAGTAACAATGAACATGCGCTGCTGGCTTTGGAAGCCTATCATATCAGAAAAAGGGCTCAGCTTTGTATAAGCGACACGTCTCTGACGCTGCTCCCATCTGAGTTTCAGTTCATTTCATCACGTATGTAATACACGGTTTCATTTCTTTTGTCAACTCTGATTGTTCCTCTGAGTGTCTGTTATCTGTCGAGATGTGTGGCGCATGTGCGGTGAGGTTGCCCAGGAGGTATTTATGCATTGACATATCCCGAAATAAAGTCAGTTGTTAGTCAGCGCTGGTGTGTGTCGTCGCTTTCTTTGTGGATCGTTTTATGTTTGCGCTGTAAAAGTATATTCTATGGATATAGAGGAGGAAGGATGCACAGATGGGGGAGGAGAGAAGCGCGCGCGGTGTGGAGAGGAAGAAGGGATGCACAGATGGTGGAAGAAGGAGGAGGAAGCTTGCGGACGGCGCCGCACTACAAGCCTCGAGTATTAGATGCTCCGCATCTAAAAGACATTTCCAACGCTTTGCTACGACGTCACGGTGGTGGCACCTGCCCGTCGCTTTGCGTTCTACACCTTATCACCTCCGAGACTGGCGTGCATCTTTCTCCGCGGGCTGCACGCCTTCGTTTTCGAAGATAACTGCCAAATGGCATGCGCTCGTTCACCTATGCTACAAGCTAGAGGCACTCTAACGCAGCGCCTGCAGAATACCATTCACCGATTTTCTTGCGCAGAGCATCAAATAAACGTTATGTTCACTCTCTCCAGACGCAAGACTATCGCATTTCGACGACATTTGTGGCGTAACATGCAGATTTCGAACCAAGTTTTTCGCTGCGGGCTTTCATGAAGGCATGAGGATGAGGAGCGGGTGGGGAGGGCGTCTGGCGCACTCGGTGACGATGAGTGTGTGGCGCGGGCAGCTGGGGCAGCGCAAGTAAAAAAAAAAGGCAGGTGGAAGAGTGGTGCGAGTCGTGACGGGGTAGGGTGCTTTGACGGCGGTTATGGCAATCGCAACGTCTGGGCCTAAAAGCTTCACCTCTTAAAAAAAAGAAAAGAAAAGTGACTTCAGACAGCCAACGACACTTGAAGCTCTAGTAAAAGTGTTCCGAGTTTCATGCCGTAGTATAAAAACATATGCAAATGTTCGAAATTAAGTTCGTTGGCTTTACTTTTTCACTCAAGAAAAAATTGCCGCTAAAGCGGCTGAACGTGGCGCACGCAACCGGTGAACATGATCGCTTCTGGATTGTGGCACCGTATCAGGAAGTAGAAGGGTCGGTCGACCCGGAACCGATGCGGGTCCGTGATGAAACTTCCAGGCGTTACCCGGACGTCCTTTGGCGGGGCGGTCTCGGTGCCTTCTTCGTTGACGTCGATGAAGGCCTTGTGAACGGCAACCGAGAGGGCTAGTGTCTTGACCGGCACGATGCCGGTGCTGCTCTCCTTGGAGGTGTCCCCTCTCATCGCGAAGCCGGGAAATTCAGCCACGAGTGGATCAAACAGGTCTTTGACGCCCATTGCCTGTAGCACCACCTTCAGATCTGTCGTATCTTCTACCTGCACGATACAATTAGGCCTGAGCGTGGTTACCGTGTAAAAGCACGTTCCTGCGAAATGACTAAATATGGAGTAGCTAGGAAGGCTAGCGTGCCCTTCTCAGTGCGATTTGGGAACGTTACGTGTACTTGTCGAAACTAAAAGCCCGTGAGTTTGGCGGTTGTGAAGAGACAACAGAGTACCACTTGGGCGGCTTTTCATCTTTCTGAACTGAATTCGTTCATCAGAAAAATTGACTCCGCCACCGAGATTGAATACTAAACCCCAAGGAAAAAAAAGTTGAGTGTTCTGTCTGGGAAGGTCATACATGCACAAGCCCAAATGGATTTCTGTACTAGCTTGCCCTTTCGCACTCCGATGGCGACTTACCTACGTGAATTACCAATTATAAGCCATGTTCGTCCAGTGGATACAGAAAACAATTAGAGTGATAAATGATCCCAGTCTCGTGTGGCTCATCTCCCCCTCCTTTCCAAATGCTGTATAGAAAATGGTGGAAGGAATGCATAAAGACGAAGCTATAATGGGATTGGGAGTATGGATACCAGAAGGAGAGTTGCGTCTTTTCGCAAAATAAGTTACAGCATCTCCATTCTCACTATTTGTGCTTTATTCACTGCCAGGTCAAGTGACCATGCCTACCCCGAACGACTAGTCCCTCGTCTACCATGCATAGGCTGAGAGGCAACATGGAGGCGTAAAACCCCTAGAGTAATATCTCAGAAAAAAATGCAATTTGGGGTAGTTTTACTACAGTTAGGAGCAGCTAGAGCGGAACGAGCGAGAACAGCTACGCGGTGCGGTAAAATGGAACCATATCTATGCAACTTGACTCACATCGCTGATTGCTGCCCTAGTCAGTGCCATGCGTTGTCAGCACATGTGTACAGCCGCCCAGATTTATAGCCGTCGTGCGAGAGCAACTCGGCTGTGCCATACGGCTCTTACACACAGAAAAGTTGCCACTCGAGCACCATAGTCAAATATTTGACTGGCTGTACGCGTACCTTGAAGCGCGGAAGCTCCAGCTGCATGTCCTGTTCGGGATCGAACCCTCTCAGAATCCCGTCCAGGTGCTCGGTCGTCAGCGAGTTGACGAGTTCGTCGAGCCCGTCCACCTGGTCCGGTACTATTAGCGTCATCGAAAAGCGGCCGCCGCTGCCCTTGTAGGCCACGTCAAGAGCGTGTCCAACGAGGCCGTCGCAGTAGCGGTTGAGACGTGCGGGCGCGTCACCCGACATCATTCGAGTGCGCACAACCCGTGTGCGACACTCGTGGAAGTCGCCAGGGACGGTGCGGCACGGGTCGAACGGGGTGTTCCATCGTGCTGCATGTTGGCAATCGCCACGCGTTTTCATGACCCAACTGAACCCACACACAGCTACACACTACGTGCACTGCAGAAAAAAAATCACTAGGTTATTTTGAATGCATTTGCTTACGGCCGTGGCCTTTTAGCCCGACGCTGAAGTGATGCTCTGAGAAATTATAGCCCGAGGCACCAAGCTTAAAGGGGTACTGACACAAAAAGTCGTGGCCAAAATAGCCTGTGAGATTGATCCCGAGAATATGCGTATACATCAGCAAAATATAAACAGCGAAAATAGCTGGAAAAGATATTTCAGATGAATTTTGAAGCCTGCCTGCGTGATCGAGCACCACCCCTATGAGAGGAACCATGGGGACCCCCGTAGTTCCCCCAAGTCGGCCCGTTGCAGTCAGTAGAAGCTATGATAACGTAATAGCCACCATTTGTCTTTGTGCCATGTTTGCATGTTTGCTGCAGCAGATTATAACGCAGCGGCTGCTGGCGAGTCCATGGCTGCGGCGCACGTGGTAAAAGTTTTGTGCTTGGCGACAGTGCTGGCTCATTTCCTGCTCGAACGGACTTCTTGATGCGGACCGGGCGGAAGTGCTTCACAGTTCTGTGTACTGACGCGGTCGAGCACTGCACCGACTAGGTGGCGATAAATACACCCGGCGGCTAAAATTCATTCATGCTACCTTTAGCTAGCAGAGTTGCACTGCGCCAATGTTTTCCGGATGCCGCTGACGGGGCCTTCGACAATTTCAGGAACGCTATTGGTCAAGCGTCATCAGGTGGTGGTAGGTGGTTCATTTGAACTGCGGAGATGCCAACACCACGCAGAAGATGCCGATAATGCTCCACAGATTCCGGGCAGGTCAAGCGCGGTTCACATCCGCTGTTGTTATTCTTGCCGCTCCAGAGAATATTATGCAGCGCTTCTTCGGTTCCGATGCCATGTTGCCGTTTGGTCGCGATAGATGTGGTAGCAAGTGCGTTATGTGTTGCATTGTACTACGTACAGCCCACGTGATTAGATGCATCGACAGCTATTACACTGCGAGAGGATGTTGCACGCCGAACTCTCCCAAACATGGCGGAAACGATAAGGCGTTATGTGCTGCGTTATGTGAGCGAAATGTCTACGCAAGTACGCCATTGACTCCAGTGGTTTCTGCGTATGGGCCATGACAAGCCGCCTCCGTAAAGAACCAGGTGCAGTGAAAAATATTTGTTTACTTTTGATTTAACTGATATGTAGGGTTTAACGTCCCAAAACCACCATGTGATTGTGAGAGACGTGGTAGTGGAGGGCTCCGGAAAATTTTGACCACCTGGGGTTCTTTAACGTGCCCCCAAATCTGAGCACACGGGCCTATAGAATTTTCGCCTCCATCATAAATGCAGCCGCAGCAGCCGGGACTCGATCCCGCGACCTGCTGGTCAGCAGCCGAGTATCTTAGCCACTAGACAACCGCGGCGGCGAGCTGCAAAAACTACCTATTGACAGATAAAAGTTTCGCGAGCACATTCGATAAGAGTTCCGTGATTAGCTCTGCAACGTGCCATTGCAAAAGCGAGTTTCAGAGGTAACCTCACCTTTGAAATAGAGGGCGCTGACAAGCGCAAGTTGTGTGCTGGGATCGAGGCTGCCTTGTGGAAGTAATTCCTTTATGCAGAGGCACGTGGTACGCTCGACGCAAGCGTTGATGCTGGACCTGCACGCTTCGGCGTCCTCGTGGAAGCTCTCTGTCGCGACGGTGCTCGCGTAGCACCGGTTCAGCGTGGTCTGGTATCTGCCCAGCGGCCGAAACCGATCGTCGGCGTACAGTCGGTTGGCCAGGCTAATTGTTATGTGATCGTCCGTGTGACCAAGCTCGTTGAAGACGTGCCTGCGAATTACAGTCAAGTTGTTCGTATCGCAATGACGTGTCGATTTGCCATTGGAAGGAGGAGACACACGCCTCTCCTCATATCCTCGGATGGTTGGTTAAAGTCAGAAAGAACAGAAGCTTCAGCAGGAATGCAAATATGAAAATGAAGCAACGACGCACTTCTCATTAACAGCCTTAGTTCCGTCCTCCGCTTCCCGGGGAACAGATGTGGGATGTAAATAGCACTGAGAATGTAACGTCAGGAGTCATAGGCTTCCATTGGCACGAAAAACCTGTATAACGGCCATAGCCTTGCGATGAAATACTATGCATAAGCGTTTCAATGAGCACAAAATTTTCATAATTTTTTCTATACTTAGCGTTTAGACAACCCGTACATCTGAAGAGCACACAGCGTTTCCCGCATTAGTCACTGTAACGCAGTATATCTACTGCAAGCCCATACCGTCCCGTTTCACCAATCGTTATTCTTACATGCAGCCCAATACTGGAATGACTTGCCCACCAAATTCGCCACCATCGTCGACACCAAAGCATTAAGACGGCCCTTGAAACCATCCCACCATATCTTGCATTGTATTGTTAGCCTTTCCGTAACCCTCCACACTGCGGTGGTCTAGTGTCTAAGGTACTCGACTGCCGAGCCGCAAGTCACGGCTTTGAATTCCGTCTGCTGCGGCTGCTTTAAAAAAACCCATGTGGTTGAAATTTCTGGAGCCCTCAACTACGGCATCTCTGATGGTCACATGATAGTTTTCTGACGTTAAGCCTTACTTGACAATGAATCAATTTTCTAGAACCCACTCACGTAATAGAATGAATTATTAATAACAAGACAGGTGTGACTTCACAATGGAATGGCCCCACCGCAGTGGTGTAGTGGCTAAGGCACTCAGCTGCTGACTCGTAGTTAGCGGGGTCGAATCCCGGCTGCAGCAGCTGCATTTTCGATGAGGCGAAAATGCTATCGACGTAAGTGCTCAGATTTGCGTGCACGTTAAAGAACCTCAGGTGGTCAAAATTTCTCAATCCCGCCACTATGGCATCTCTCATAATCATGCAGCGATTTACGCACCCTAAACGTAGCCCCCATATCAATCAATATCACGAGAAAAGGAGTTGGGCAGACTGGCCCCCATCTGAAGCGCGTCCGTAACTGCACTCTTGCGTTGGTGCGTTGCTGAGATACGACAGCTCGTGAGGTAGCCGAAGCATCCTTCATATACAAGGGCAAGTGTACTGCGCAACCAAAGATAACGGTGCAAACAGCTGAACAGCTGATTATGTTGGCCTTCCTTAGATAGCCAAGTTAATGCGCGTGTTGATTTCTTACACGTGGCCAATTAGGTTTCTTGTATACTTTTTGTACGGTCAGCCAAAATAGGAATGACAAACAGCAATAAACCATAACCAGACAGAATATTCTTATTTCAAAGTTTGGTGATGGTGTGAGGTGGTAAGTGACGCCTTTTCTCCGATTGTATGGCTTTCATGAATGTGACAGCCACCAGTAGCTTCACCGCTGTGCCATTTACAGGGTACGGAAACCCATGCCCCATAACAGCATGTCCACACTAACAGCATAAAAGTAGAACAAAGCGAAAATGACTGGATGTATTTCAGTGAGCCAGAGGGTGCTACTAAACTCTCATGTATACCGCGACTATATCACAGCAGCATTGCCAACATGTTCCTCTAGCGATACCAAAAAAGTGAGACGCTCACCCGTCAACGAGGAAGGCCGCTGGTCTGCAGCCGTATACTGCTGGGGCGCTATATATGGAATTGAATCCCTACGAATTAACTGCTGGGACATCGGCGTGAGCCCTTGTACTCTGAAGCAATAGTCTGGGCAGATGCGGCCTCTTGCAGTAAGACAGCAGGGCGTTCCACCTTATCAAACGCGGGGCAGTCGACGTGTTCGCTTCTGATAGGCCCCACATAAGCGTGCGCACGTCAAGTGGAGGCAGGGGGAAAGGGTAGCCACCCCACCCCCCTTTTTTGATCTAAAAAGGACCGCGAAATTCGTCCCATACTGTTACTCTCTAGGAACTTTTAAGGAATTATGATTTTTTTCTTCTTCCCAATAAAGGTGACCAAGGACACCTGATGTGCTACATTCAAACACCTGCATACGTCCTTCTCGTTTTCCGTGCTTTTTTTGTTTAAGACTTGACCGAAAGCAAGGAAAGGGGGAGGAACTGTGACAGCACACCCTCCTTATGCCCCCTCCTCTCAAAAATCTAATATTTCTGCACGTGCCTATGGGACCCGTCGTTGCTGCTTCTACTAACAGGCTGCGCGTTCTGGTTTTTCTGCCTCATCTCGAAAACTTCATTGCAGGCTTCATATATTCCATTTTTGTGGGTGGTTTTAGGTGCCGCGGTTTAGCATCATTAACCTTGCCATTTTTTTTTATATTTAAACTAAACAAAATGCTTATGTGAACGTGTGCGCATGAAAACAAATGGGTCAGTTCGTCGGACGTTTCACTGACTTTAGTAGCAATTTGCGTTGCGATGCGCAAAAACAAAAGTACATTTTTCCTGCAACAAAAGTTGGTGGTGCCCGTTAGTCTTGCGTGAAATGGTCCACGCATAGCGAAAGTAGGAGTGTTTTGTGACAAAAGCTGCGAGAGGTTCACCTAAAGTGCTCGTGCACCGTTCTGACGTCGGCGCCACCGAGAGCGGAGGCCAGCTGCCCTGACGTGGAACCGCTCGTCCCGGCGAGCAGCATGGACAGAGCCGAGCCCACAGACAGAGGCGAGAAGACGATGTTGACCGGAATGTCATCGGGTTTACTCGGAGCCTGCGAACGAATGACCACTGTTTGTTGGCGTTGCCTACTCGAAAAAGAAAGAAAATGTGCCGCATTGTTTGTTGTCGTAGCAAAGACGAATTGGTATATTTGGCGCCCATTCATTTTTCAAAAAGGAGAATGCATAAAAAAGAAATACATACTGTACATTGGGCAAAAGAAGCTTTCCTCTTCCTGATATTGCCACACTAATTTCTCGAGTTTTGTTATTGCACCATTACACGAGTTGCTTTGCGCGAACTGCGCCAGTTGACAAACAACCCAGTGGGATAACCCTAGAACATTTCGATGCGATTACACGCGCAACTAGAACAATACAGATTCTTCTGGAACTTACTTGGGTGCTAGTGATAACGCCGGAATATTCGAAGGCACACGTGTAAATGCCGACGCAAACGTATAAATGCCGACTACGTGCCAGCTGATTCACGGCTGACGATGTTCGCCGCTATGAATGCCAAAGCGTAGCGCTGTAATCTGACTTTCCATTTACCGGCCACCAGATTCGGTCAAACGAACAGTTTCATTTTGGTCAAAGCATCTCGGTCTTCCTCAGCGTCACGACCACGCGACAATATGAAACTCTCTAGAGCACAGGCACCTACCTTCCACATGTTTCAAACCAAGTCATATCCTTGTCTTCATTCCCACATCATTGAAGGCATTGATGTAACACGTCCAGATTGTAGCGCCGCATTTACGTTAGACGAGATGCTCGAGAAATGCCCCTCGTTACAGATTTCCGATTGATTGATATGTGGTGTTTAACGCCCCAAAATTACTATATTGGCTCGGCCTACACGTCCCGACGTGGGAGCGGCCCACCAACTACCTCCTTGATCTGACTACCTCTTGTTCTCTGTCTGCCTGTTTAGGCAAGAACGAGAGGCATGACACACTAGGCTGTACTGAGGACCGAAACTTTGAAGGTAACATTAACTTATATTTGTAAAACGACACACACTGTCAAGTGAGGTCAACTTCAGAAAATAATTAGAATGTGATACGCGCATCAATAAATGAGAATTTTTTTCTGATACGTTACGGTGGACTAGCTGGCGCAAGATTCACGTGGCTTGCTAATTTGAAAAGCTTCTGGGACTTCACGTCTGAAGTGATCATAGTGCTTAAACGGTATGTCGGGGCATGAAAAACCATGGTACAGCCGTACATTACCCTTTATTGTGCCAAATAAGAAGGGGAAGCATTATATAAAGGCAGATACTGCTCACAAAGCCAATAATAACACAGTGGCTCGTTTGTCTAGTTAAGGAACGACCACAAAATAACAGGTTGCAATGAACAGCAATGACTGCACAAGCAACATGTGTATTTTTGAAGGCGTGCTTGGGGATACTCTTCAAGGGGGACGGTCACCATTCCTATTATGTCAATGCATGAAGCTGACATTGCGCCCCCCTCCCCCCTGAGTCCCATGCACCCCCTTCATCAGTGACCACGGGAGGCGGCCGCCCCCGTGGACCCCCCGTGCACCACTATGCTTATGTTTACGTTAGGTTTTCGCTACGGAGTTGACGATGTTTTTGGGACACCCACTTAAGTGGCACAATCTGAACTCTGTTTTACAAGAAAAACAAACCAATATTGATTGCAGCCAAAAATAATAAAAAACGTATCAGGTAAACATGAGTACAGCAAACCCTCGGTAACAAAAGGAAAATTTTTTCTTGGCATTTTGATCAGAGTCCCGTTCAACATCGGATGCTCCAGAGAACACGTCGAATCAGCGTTTCATCTACGTCTTCAACTTTATATAGTACCTTATTAAAATTCTCAAGTAGCCATTGCCGTACACAGCTTCGCGTAGACAGCTATGAATACATATCTGGCTACTTTGATCTCTAAGAAATATGACGGCCGAGTTTCCGAGAATATTCTGATTTCACCAATGTGGACGGCTGTCCAAAAGTAGGTGCTTTCTTCTTGGCGCGTAATGTAAGCCATGCTAAGTTATTCATAGATTTGTTGACGAAAAGAGTTAAACTAATTACAATTTGATTTATTTTTTGTATATTTCCTTTTGTCAACTCGAGGTGGCGACACATCATACAGGCTTCATCCCGGTGCGTCTCATTGTTCGGACGACTGGGGCACCTATAGGCTGTCTGCATAACCTGTCTACTCTGTGCCTCTGAATCGTAACATATCTTGAAGGGCCCCTAAATAACACCATGTTTAATGGTGAGGCAGTAGTGTCTTGCTCGCCTTCGCTATCTTTAATGCAGGAGGTATCTCCTCCTCGCCACTTATTCTTCGTAAAACACGTCGAAAGTCACCACTAAGCGTTCAGCCAGTCAGGATTTCATGCCTATCAACCATTGTGTTTCCTAAATTTAACCATATAGATGGACTCTGACGCCGCGATCGTTCAGCGACCACGGAAATGATGTATAGTACACGAATTTGCCCATAGTCCTCATGCTTACGGGCCTTTAACGCAATTGTGGCTTTGTTTATTGCTGTGCTTGTGTTTTGTTTCGCATGAAGTAACTAACGGTTCTAAACACAGCGATCCGATTCGAAATGATGAGCCTAAGAGCCTAAGCAGTGAAGTGCAACTGCTGAGCCTTTGCTGATTGTCGTTTCGTGATAAAGCAACTTCGAGCCACGCGAAGCCAACTGAAGCTGAAAGTACGAAAATGAGACGAACTTCGTGTACTACCCATCGATTCCACACTCGCTGATGCGCCGTGCGTTGCAGCTCCCGTAGACGCTAGCGCCAGAGCTCCCTCTGGTGTATACATAGTAAACCATGTTAATGCTGTTATTTCTGCTTGCGTACGAAATAAAATGCAATCAGTTTATCGCGCACGACAGCCTTGAGAGACAATGTAGACAGGGCATGCAACTGCATGGCGAAGCGAAGTAAGAAAAACAATTCACGACAGTTATATATTGACCAATCAAAGAGCCTGTTTGATCCTGACATCACACGAACAAACTGCCGTTGTCACTAATTGTGCTGCGAAGAGGGCGAAACGCCGGGAGAAAATAAGTCGCTCATTTTCTTTTTGTATTTTCCACAGGTTGTTTAGAGAGACCCCTTAAATAGGCAGTCAGCGCATAGCTCATCTGCATAGAAGTTGGGCTCAGAAGGAAAGCGAGGAGAACGAACGCTGGAAGCGACCTTTATGCGTAGCAGTTGCTTGGACATGTTGACGGCGAGGGCGTTGCAGACGCGAGCGACGCCTTCGCCAGTTACCGCGACTTTCGTGATGATCGTCGAGGACGCATTGGTGAGTCCGGGCTTGCCGAGCTCCTCTTTTGACGACGGCATTCCAGAACGAAATAGGGATGCTGCGATCTAAAAAAAAAAAAAGGTAATCTTGTAGCGACGTTCCACTGACCAAGAGTCCCTATCAGAAACGCCTAACTGAAAACCCAAGAAGAAATAAAACAATTTCCTAATGTTGCACGTGAACGGATCAACCTCACATCGTGGTGCTTGTTCTTCTTGATCACCTATTATATGCAACAAGAAGAAGCTGCTTCCATGACGCCTTACCTCAGGATTCTTGATTTCTTCTTTTGCTGACGTATTGCCGATGATGATTCCTTAAGATTGCTGTCACGTGACCGCCGTGGGCAACATGCTACGATCGAGGTGGTATTTTTGATAAAATAAGACTGCGAATAACGGGTAAAAATGAATATATTGAGAAAAAGTGAAATATCTAGTGAATTAGTAGAGACGTATACTAAAAGCTATTGTCAATTAATGCTTTGATGTGGTTCGTAAACAAAGTTGACTCAATCACACTAATGTTGTTCGATAGTGAAAGGAGGTGAAGTTAGTTGAGCGATTCAAGCCAGTTCCACCCCTGTTAAATCTGAATCAACAGCGAACCTTGCAAGTAAGCTCCACTACCTGGCGAACGAAGAACAGTAAGACACATGCGGCCGCGGTCGATACACCATCGCGACGAAACGCCCCCCGCCGTGGTGGTCTAGTGGCTAAGGTACTCGGCTGCTGACCCGCCGGTCGCGGGTTTGAATCCCGGCTGCGGCGGCTGCATTTCTGATGGAGGCGGAAATGTTGTAGGCCTGTGTGCTCAGATTTGGGTGCGCGTTAAAGAATGCCAGGTGGTTTAAATTTCTGGAGTCCTCCACTACGGCGTCTCTCATAATCATATGGAGGTTTTGGGACGTTAAACCCCACATATCAATCAATCAAATCAGCGACGAAACGCCGGCAGACACGCGAACGCTGGCTGGCAGGCTGTGGTTAGTGCCGAGCCCTCGACAGAGGATGAGTCGGTGAGAGAAACCACAGCCGAGGCCGAGGAAAGAAACTGTGAGACATTGAAATCTGAGCAACAAGGTGACGCGAAAAATTTGCTCAACAAGCAACGCGACGATGAAATGCTTAATGACGCCGGGTGAAATACGACCATGCATGTTGTAAATAGACTACTGTGTGGGTCCAAATCTCTTGTCAAGCCAAACCTCCGAAAACAGCACGTGCTCTGCACCCACGCGTCCACTGCAGCAGTGCCTCCTTTAAAACATTTTCGAATGCGCTCGTTCTTCTTGGTTCGCGCCTCGTCGGTGTCGTTGATCTTCGCTGTCGACGCCTGCGTTCGGCTTCCCTGGCTCACGCCTCGTCAGTGTTGCAGACGCGACATCGCTATTCGCAAACGCGTTCGGCTTCGCTAACTCTCGCAACGGTGGTGATGACTAGGTTAGGCCTCATCGCATCGGCGTGTGTTTCAGCGGGTAAAAGAGTGTGTTCTTCCGGCGCACTCTCCATCGCAGATAAACAGGCGGAAAGAGTACTCGACGTGCAACTGAGCATTACGCGTGGTGGAGAAGGCGAAGCGAGAGAGAAGTGTGTTGCGAGCGGGTGGAGGAGCCGGCAGCTGTGGGCGCAGCGGCAAGCGTGTTGCGGGTGAGAGAGAGTGGCATCAGCGCACACCTGTGAGGGAAGCTTGCGAGGGGAGCATGACGTCAGCGCGCAGCTGCGGCATGACCTACTTGGCGCCACTTTGACACCTGTGGAGAGAAGAACGCGTCGCGGTGCGTTCGTACGGACGCACGCACGTACGGCATTACATACGTGAGCCGAAGAGCTGCTTCGCTTCTAAAAATCTGTGCTGGGCTCACCACCTGTGGCGGTTGTCGAATGCTCGTTATCGCCGCCGCCGCTAGGGTGTACTGGAAAAACAGGTTGTCGACCGTTACGACTGCCGCGGCCGCCATTCGCCATTCTGTACCAGTGCACGTTCGTCGCAGGCCGCTGTTGCGTTCGGCCCGTTTGTTCACCTCCACATTGTGAGATAATTACCGACAATTGCATAGCATGACTTACGATGGCCTACTGCTGTGTGCCATTATGTAAATACGACGAGAAAAAGAAAACAGCAGGGCTCTCCTTTCTTGAAATGCCTGAAGACGCGGACGTACGCTCACGACGGTTTGCTGGAATACAACGTGACAAGTAGTCGCCACATACCACTTCATGCTACACGAAGGTGTGCATCAGACATTTCAAAGAAAACTTCATAGAAGGCAAGCGTGGAAGCCTGAAGAAAGGGGCTGTGCCATCAGTTTTTGAAGAGTACCCGTCGCAGGCGGCGCTGGCGTCGATCGACGGGAGTGGTCGCATACCACGTGGGCTCGGTGAAATATCGCAATTATTTGCATCACATCAAGTCGTTCTCCTGCAAGCCTTCTACCACCGTCTCCAAGAGCGTCAGCTGCAACCGTAGACATCACGTCTTGCCAAGGTGGGCCGTCTTCTGACCCTTTTTTGGTCACTTGAAGCTTTCGCCAAACCACCGCGGAGTGAAGCCTAACCGCAGTAAGGGCTGCGCTGGCCCTGCCCGGGGTTTCCCCGGTAATGGGGACTCCAAATCAAGTCACCGGCTACGATCCGGAGTCCCTACAGATTATACAGATGGATACCGCTCAAACCGAGACACCTCTACCAACTGAGGAAGAATACCTCAAGGACATGCTCCGCGTCTGGCGCGGGAGGAAGAACACAGCAGTGGCGTCGAGAGACGCCAGGGCTCCTGCAGCCAAACGACAAGCATCGTCTCACCCTCAGCAAGCACAGGGCAAGAACGCGCCGAGCGTCACCTCGCAGTGCGCCAAGCAACTCTAGTGGCGGCCGAAGAACACGCCGCGCATCGAAGAAGACGACATCATAGTGGTGCTGAAACCGCGTGAGCCGCTCGACCTCAAGGCAACGTTTGGTCCTGGACAAGCCGGCGCTGCAGTCCGCAGCATCCTCGGAGCCGACGCAAGTGTGGGACTTGCGGTGTGGCGCCTCTGGGATCAAAATGTACTTGTGTGCACGCTCAAATCAGTGGACGCCGCCGAGAGACTCCTCCGGGACATTAAGCTGCCAGTTGGGAGCCGCCAGCTAACATTCCGGGGACATCCCAAACTCTCCGGTGAGTTTTGTCGGGGCGTCGTGCATGTCTCTCAAGAAGAAACGTCCGAAACTGTGAAAAGCAAGCTCAGTGCTGAGCCAAATATAGTGTCTGTGCGCAAGCTTGGGGACACCCCGGTTGCGGTGATCACTTTCGCTGGCACCAAGGTGCCACGGATGGTGCTATACAACGGCGAGCGGCTCCTTGTCCGCTTGTATGAAAATACAGCGCCTGCATGCCCACTTCGTGGCACAGTGGGCCATCGAGCAGATACTTGCCCGCGCCCGCAGCCCGGCCGCTGCACCAGCTGCGGCGTTCAGGTACCTGCTGCTACTCCTGACGGCCCCACGGAACACCAGTGCATTCCGAGCTGCCTCCTCTGCGGCGGTGGCCACAAGGATGGAGCTCCAGGTTGTGCTGGACGGTTCCGGCAGCCGGTCAAGTCGGGATCCCCACGCGGATCCAAGCCGAGCACAACGGGGGGGGGGGGAAGGGGGGGAACAAACAGGCTCCGACTCCCAAGACTGGCCCCAAGAAAGCACCAGCCGCCAAGTCGAATAAGCCAGAACCCAAGAAGACCAACACCGGGCAGTCCACCGATGTAAAGTCTGGGACCCCGTCGGAGCCTCCTGTCTTGGTCAAGGACTTCCCACCCTTGACACCCGTCCAAGCACATGTGAGTTGTTGGGGTGGGGCAGTCTCCGGAACTTCCTCTTCTCCCTCCCCTACCGAAACCGTCCTACAGCAGCAGATAGGGGAGCTCAGGCGCCAGAACCAAATTCTTGCGCGCCAAATTCAGGATTTAGAAGCCAAGCAGGTTGGGTCATCCGAGCCAGTGCAGGAAGCCGAGGCAGAAGACGGGGATGACGGCTTTTCCGTCACATCCCGCCTCACTAGCGTCTCGCGGCAGGAAGCGGACACGGTAGTTGGACCAGCTTCCATTACCGGATCCATCGGTCGCATCGAGTGTCTAGAGCGTAAAACGAGCAATTAGAGGCGAGCGTGGCAGCTCTCCCCACTTAAATCATGTCGGCAGTCCGCGAGTCCTTTAAGGACATGTTCACGGCAGCCTTAACGCAAGCACTTCCCGCAATTGTGGCACAGGTCTCTAACTCAGTCCTTAAAGCCATGCAGCCCTGGGTTATCGCCCAAATTAAAAACACAACTCAGAGTGACTCCCCACAGGTTAAACGCAAGCCGGCCTCCCGTCAGGCAGCAGAAGAAGGCTTTTCGGGGCCGGCTCCACGTCCGGACCGGTCCTCTGCACCTTACATAAATACTAAAAGATGGCTAGCCGATCTAATAAACAAGCTAAATATCTACAAAATTTGTGATTTTACAATGACTCTGCAGGGATTTTAGAGCCTGGAAAAAACGGTCGCACCTCCAGCTCTACTTGCAGTCCCTCGGAAACATGCCCGCCTTACTTGCTTTGCAGGAACCCGGTTTGGACGTTAAATTCTCTGGCTGTAGCACTTTCAAGGGGGGGCCCTCGTCATTCATATTGGTGAACAAGGCATATACCACGATTCAAGTCGATTTAAACTTAAGTACTGAACAAGAATACACAATGGTCAGAGTACTGCCTCTCAGATGTCGCGACCAGTCAATACACATCCTAAATATATACAGCCCCCCGCATAAGCCCCGCGTAACTTTTAGCGAAATCGTCCTCCGGGCGATCAAGTTGGCAGACAAGGACCCCTTAGTGATCGTGGGAGATTTCAATGCTCCCAGCCTTCACTGGGGCTATCACTACGAGAAGGCCAGATGACGTAAGCTGGCGGAGCTTATCTCCACCCGTCGCCTCACGCTGCTCACGGATCCGGCGTACCCCGCTCGAGCGGGGAACTCGGTAACCTGTGACACGTGTCCGGACCTCTCTCTCGTAAAAAATGCT